CCCCCCCCCCCCCCCCCCCCCACTCCGATCCATCGCCTCCTACTCCCTACCTATATACTCTTCTTCTTCTTACATATACTACCACTCCCAAATTCTTTTTTTACTTTCCCAATATAAATTACACTTGATTAATTGGTAAAATATTGATCTGATAGATAGATTAATACTTTCTCCGTCCCAAAAAGTTCGACACATTTCGAAAAAACTGCGTCTCATAAAATCTGTTACAGTTCTATTAAAAACCCACTTTTACCCTTTACTTTTTCATATCCTACCTATCACATCATACTTTTTTCCTAATAATCTACCCATCGCATCCTACTTTTACCCATCACATCAAGGTTATTTTTGGAAAGTCAATATCAAAATATCCCTCCCTTAATTTCCCAAAAAGTCAATATGTACCAAACTTTTTGGGACGGAGGGATAATAAATACAATATAAACAATATGATTTAATAGGTATAATAATAATTAGTGTGTGTCATTGTGCCTTTTTAATTAATACCTATTAATATGATTTAATAGGTAAAATACTGATTTGATTCGATCTAATTTTAATTAAAGTTAAGGTTGCATGTGTTTCTGATATGATTTTTTCTAATATGATCTGATTTAATAAAAATAAATAATAAGTATATATCAAGTAATAAGAATAAAATGAATCGAAGAACGCCCTTACCCCCTTGGAGCTTGTTCAATGCGTCTGATCAGATTAGTTCTGATTCAATTTATAAACGTCCAATATCGTATGGTCTATCCGAATCTTTTAGGTCTCGTTTTATCGGAACTAATTAAACTTAAAGTTGTAATCCCTCCGTCTCTTAAAACTTTTCCTCTTTCATTTTTTTTGTTTTCCTTAAAACACTTCTTTTTTCTATTAAAAAATACTCCCTCCGTTTCTTAAAACCCTTCCTCTTTCATTTTTTTTGTTTTTCTTAAAACACTTCCCCTTTCTATTAAAAAACCACTTTTACCACTTACTTTTTCATACCCTACCTATCACATCATACTTTTTCACTAACAACTAAACTATCACATCTTACTTTTACCCATCACATCAAGGGCAAAATTGGAAAGTCAACTACAATTTAACACTTCCTTATTTTCCCCCAAAGTCAAAAGAGGAACCCTTTTGAGAAACGGAGGTAGTAACTTTTACCCCTACTTATTCATACTCTACCTATCAGATCATACTTTTTCACTAATAACTAAACTATCACATCTTACTTTTACCAATCACATCAGAGGCAAAATTGGAAGGTCAATTAAAATTACACTTTTCTTAATTATTTTGCTCCAAAGTCAAAACAAAAATCGTTTTAAGAAACGGAAGGGGTTATATTTTTGAGTTGATATAGTAATCTGGCTTTATAATCTAAATCTTACTATTGTCACTGATTTATTTTATTTAATTTGATTCAATTCCAAATTAATTAAATGTCTCGCTCATTCATTTTAAGACAAGAAATAGGTTGTCTCATTCAATTTAAGAGAAGAAATAGGTAATTCACATTGTTTCTATTTTTTTACACAAACTTTCACCATACAATCATTTTTTACTCCTCCAAAATCAAGTCTTTGCATTCATTTACACAACAGAGAAAAAAAATAGGAGGAAAATAAAACAAAATGACTTTGTCTCATTTTCAAGCATCAAAATAGGAGAAATTTTGACTATTTTTTTTGTAGTACATTTTGTCTCTCACTTTTTCTTTTATCTTCCACTTTTATGGTGTGTTTGAAGCAAATATATGAATTTTATGTTTTCCGTATTATTCATTCATCATTTGAATAAGTATATCAGTTCTTAGGTGGGTTTAATTTGTTTGTTTGTTTATATATTTCAAACGTAGAGAAGAGGGGCGTAAAGAGAAAGGAAAGGAGACTACAAATGCGAGTGGAGGTGGAGTGAGGGCCCATTAACAACACAAAGGGAACATATAATTTCAGAAACACAAAGGGTTTAATATAATTAATACCGAATGCACCCTCCTTTCCCCACATATTTTTAATTCAATTTATTACATATTTTTAATTCAATTTATTTTATTATAAATGTAAAATTTTAAAACAAATTTATATAGTAAACAATCAAACTACAAGAAAAAGTTCTACCAAAGAAGATGTGAAAAGATTATACTCCCACATGGGAGTTTTGATTTTGAAGAGGAATTTAAGGGGAGTGTATTTTGGTATTGAATTTTCAAAAATGTCCTTTGATGTGATGGGTAAAAGTATGATTTGATAGATATATTATTAGTAAAAAGGTATGATGTGATAGATAGGGTATGAAAAAGTGATGGGTAAAAGTGACTTTTTAATAAAAATGAGAAGTGTTTTTTGGGACGGATGAAAAAGAAAGAAGAAAGATTCCCAGAGACGGGGGTTATTATTGTATGAAATAAGTCGTAAAGTAGTTATGTTTAACTCTATGAATAGTATTTGAGAAGATTCTTCTTTGGAACGTTCCAAAAAAAAGTCTCATTTTCTCTTCTATACAATTTTGGTATGGCTTACAATCTTTCTCTCTTCTCCGTATTGATTTGAATCACACATTTTTATTTTATTCAAGTTTGGTAAGAGAGGCACTATATATTGGAGAGATGGATCCAAAGCAAACATTATTTGACCTGTCTACTTCTATCTCATCATGCCATTCCAATAGACCTCTCTACCTCAAACCCAAACGGAAAGGTCACTTCATTCTTTCATAAATTCTTCATCCATTATTATATTGATTTCCACTCTCCATCACCCACCCAAAACCAACCATTAATAAGGATCAAATTAAACTAGGGTTTTCCTTTTTCCAAATTTTAAGGATCATATATATATATAACAAGATCAGAAGCTAGCTAGCTAGATATGCAGCGGCCAAGAATCATCACAGATGCATACATGGGGAGCAGTAGTAGCAGCGGAGGCGGCGGCGCCGGCCAAGCCACCGCGAGAACAGATTTGATGTTCCACGAAATGTCACCCGTTCTTCCGTGGCCGGTCCAGGGCTTCAACCCGGCCAACACCTTCCAGACCGGCCACGAACCGGACCACTTCCTCCTCCCGCAGGCCGCCTCCCCGTACGGAGGCCTCTTCGGTGGGAGGAGGCACGACGGCCCGGGGGACCACTTCCGGGGCATCATCTCGGATGCGCAGCCCGGCTTCGGGGTGCCGTTCGGGCTGCAAGCGGAGCTGCAGAAGATGACGGCCCAGGAAATAATGGACGCCAAGGCGCTGGCGGCCTCGAAGAGCCATAGCGAGGCGGAGAGGAGGAGAAGGGAGAGGATTAATAATCATCTTGCTAAGCTCCGTAGTCTCCTTCCTAATACAACAAAGGTAGGTTTAATTATTTTTACTTCATTAATTTCTCCGTATTATTATTATTATTATTATTATTATTTCTCCGTATTATTATTATTAATAATATTTTCCACGCTGCATATAATTTTATTTTTTCATCGACAGAAAAAAAACTTTATAAGAATCATAATCATTTCATTCTTTTGAAAAACACATGCATGTAATTATAGTCCATGTTTTTTTTTTGGGAAAGCTAGCTACGACCTTCTAACTCTTCATCATCAACTATTATATTGTTCATTTTTTTCTTATAAAAAAAGCTCTTCAACTATTTAATTTTTGTAAAAAAAAACAGAACTCTATAATTTGTTGAGTGTTTTTCTGTCAAAAAAAAATTTGTTGAGTGTTTATTGGCAAGAGATTTCATATGATATGTTTTTTTAATAATTTTTACAAATATTAAATGAGTGATTATTATTAACAGTTCACAATAAGGATAGATAATTTTGTGCAGATTTTTCTTTTCGAAATATGTTTTCAACTTTTTCTAGAATATCATAGAATTAAATGGATTTGAAGAAACAATTTTTGTCAAATAATATTTATAAGCTTTTCCCGTTGCCAAATTTCACCAACTAAGTAAAAGCTAAATTGAAAATTGCGTGCTCTAATTAGACGGCCTCTTTCGCAAAATTAAAGTAAATAGGACTAAAATATTGAAAATATACCGAAATAGAACTTCAATGTTTTTATTCCCGAAATATGATTTACATTACCAAACATGGTCATATACATTACCAAAAACGTGTAATAATTTACACATGTACACTGTCACATTACCACAATGCAAAGCCACATTACCACAGTGCAAAGTCCTATTTTGAGAAAAAAAACATGAAAGTCCTATTTTGATACTTTTATCTATGTTTTAGTCCTATTTAGGATGATTTCTATATTGTTTTTGAATTTTGGTTCTTTAATTTTAGGCTAAATTTCACAGTTGGTCATTCAAGTTTTTGCGTCATGCACGATTAGTCCTTCAACTTTATAAAGTCCACGAATAGTCTTTCAAGTCACGTTAACGTTGCACGATTGGTCCCTCCGTCAAATTTTCCGTTAGTCCATGTATTTTTCTCATTTTTCATTATAAATATACGTGAGGAACACTCTTTTCTTCATACAATTGAGTCAAATTTCATGTAGATCCGTTTTAATTGAAATGTTAGATAATAAATTAACCGTAATTGACTGCAAACAGTCAAAACTTGATAAATACTTTAAAACGAAGTGTGTATCTGATTAAAAAATGGACTAATAAAAGTAAGAATGACGTATTATTATTAAAACAATGGACTAATAAAAATAAGAATAACTTCTTATTATTAAAAAAATAGATATATATTAAATATTGTTCAATTGTATGAATAGGAGGATTTCTCACGTATATTTATAATGGAAAATAAAAAAAAAGCATGGACTAACGAAAAAATTAACGGAAGGACCAACCGCGCATCGATAATGTGACTTGAAGGACCATTCATGGACTTTATAAAGTTGAAGGACTAATCATGCATGACGAAAAAACTTGAAGGACCAATATTAGCCTTAATTTTATCAATAGAGTTGAAGAATGGGATCAATATTATTATTGTAATTCAGTTGTCCGGCCAATTCATTTCCAAAAACACATCAAATCTAAGAAATTTAATTAGATATATACTCCCTCCGCCCCAAAAAGAATGTTACATTTCATTTTTTTGCGCATCACAAAAAGCACTGCTACTCACATCTAAAAATTCTAAAATTTACCATATTTACTCTTTATTATAAGATGAAATTATTTTGAAAGTTTTTTTGGCATTTGAGACGATATAAAAATGTCTTAAGGGATGCGCAAAAAACGAAACGTAACATTCTTTTTGGGATGGAGGGAGTATATACTCTGTCGGTCCACTTATATTTCTCAATACACGTTGATTTTGCAGTTTCAAAATACTCGGTATATATAAGATTAAAAAGTAGTAGAAGATTTTCCAAATTTGCAGAAAAAAGTTATAAAAGAAATACTGGGGTAGTGAATAGAAGTAGCGCGTAATGATTAAGAACATGTTGGATTTGTTTGAAGTGATTGTATCTAGTCTAGTTTTATTAAAGATTTGATATGATTTCATTTGATCTCTTATAAATTGTTTAAATCTTTTTCCTGATCTAGTCTGATATAAATCAATGAAAATAAATGCTAAATAATCAAAATTGAATAATAATAATTACCAAAACGGAAATTGAAAAAAGAGATACTCCGTAATAGACAGCAAAAAATGACCCTTGAGAAGAAATAAAGTGGACAAAAGGAGTGAAAATAAAAATTTTTAGATTCAGTTTTAGTGGTTGAATGTTATACTCCCTCTGTTTCTTAAAACCCTTCCTCTTTCATTTTTTTTGTTTTTCTTAAAACACTTCCCCTTTCTATTAAAAAACCACTTTTACCCCTTACTTTTTCATACCCTACCTATCACATCATACTTTTTTACTAACAACTAAACTATCACATCTTACTTTTACCCATCACATCAAGGGCAAAATTGGAAAGTCAACTACAATTTAACACTTTCTTATTTTCCCCCAAAGTCAAAAGAGGAACTCTTTTGAGAAACGGAGGTAGTACAAAATACTCGTATAATAATGTAAACATATTGTTCTTTAGGGGATATTTTATTATGAATGTTATTGCAAAAGCTTATTAATCACGAAAGTATTATAAACAGAAATAAATCTGAATCACAATCTAAAAAATGAACAATAAAATTTGAAGCAAAAAAAATTAAAAAAAGAAAAAGAAAGATATATCCCGTGCAGGTAGCTAGGAGTAGGACAGATTATATATAAACACTGATAGAATATTACTCCGCAGTATATTATGTAAAAATAAAAAGACTTTTTTTTTTACATTTAGAAGCAAAAAAGAGAGAAAAAAAAACATAAGACCGGTTATAGGACTTCTGCCCAAAAGATTGGTTATTATTAGGGCATATTATCATATGTATCTTCACAAAATTGGCATTGAAATTAATTAGTGGGCCGGGGGAGTTCCGAGGAAAAGGAAAGACTTTAATGTCGATAGGTTGATGTGTTAAAGAGGAACCAAACAACAGCACAAAATGTAGCTTTAATCGCGCCTTCCTCCGTCTTAAGGTTCGACCGGTCCGGTCCTTCGGATCGGGAAACACTCGTAAAAGAATCAAAACTATCCTAAAGAATTGAGACAATGCTGCGTACTTGGTCGGTGGTGGTGCCTCATTTTATGTGTCCTAGCCCTTATTAATTACTCCCTTCGTCCCAAAAACATTTACACCTTTCAAAAAAATAACGTCCCACAATCTCCTACCCATTTTTATTAAAAAACCACTTTTACCCCTTACTTTTTCAAACCCTACCTATCACATCATACCTTTTTCCTAATAATCTACACATCACATCCTACTTTTACTCATCACATCAAGGTTATTTTTGGAAAGTCAACACAAAGTTATCTTTCTTAATTTCAACTTTAGTCAAAACGTGTAAATCTTTTTGGGACGAAGGGATTAATTATTAATTCTTTTTGTTAATAGCTAGCTCGCTTTTTTTTGAAACAATTGAATAATCATGTTATACTCTTTTAATTTCCCCTTTTTAAATTCTAGATGTCCTACTTTATAATGCATAAAATTATGAATTATACAAATAACTTTTTAAATTTGAATAATTAGAGTCGACTAGGAGTATTACAAAAATGAAACCCTTAGAATATTCTCTACCTCTGTTCTGGTGGATTTATCTATTTTGACTTTTTACAAAAAGAGTGCTTGGATGAACATTGATCACAGTTAAATAAAAATTAGCATTAATATCTAAAATAGTCATTAACAATAAGATGTTTTACAAACTAATTTCAATAAGTTATAGGGCCTGTTTGGGAATAGCGTTAGAGATTAGCGTTAGCATTTTGGATAAAATTTTAACGGTGCAGATTAATTTGAAAACGCTAACGTTAAACGCTGCCCGTAGATAGTCTTTTGAAAACGCAAACGCTAATCTCTAAAGCTATTCCCAAACAGGCCCATAATCACCTACGTTATACTTTATAAATTAAATTTATTTTATTGGTAATTTCCAAAAAAATGATATCGAATGACTACTAAATATACTACTCCCTCCGTTAACAAAACCTTCTCTTTTTATTTTTCATCCGTCCCAAGAATTCTTCACTTTTCAATTAAAAAGTCACTTTTACTCGTATTAATTCTTCACCTACCTATCATATCATATTTTTTTTCTATTAATCTACCGATCACATCCTACTATATCCATCACATCAAAGAACATTTTTGTAAAATCAATAACAAAATAAACTTTACTTAAATCACATCTTACTCTTAATTTTTTGATCGAAACATCTTAAGCTTTGTTATCATCCTATCATGACAATAATTTTTATTGTTAAATGTACCCACCTTATGTACTTACCTTACATGATAATGATGATGATGGCGATGCACCCATTTTATGACTTTGATTGTCATTCTCGTACACATTTTCACGTAATAATTTCTAAAAGTAATACCAAATTAAATCGTTTGAACATTGAACAATTGACCCTACTCAATTTTGCACAAATTATCAAATAAAATGAATTAAAACTATTTTCATTTGAAGCATGAATTTAATTAAATTTGGTAAATTAAAGCATGAATTTAATTAAAGCATGAATTTAATTAAATCGGTAAATTAAATTTAGAGATGGATGGGATTGGGCCGGGGTGAGCATGCGGGTTAGTGAGCCCATAGGTGTCAGTTCAAAGGAGCTGACTTATGTGTAGTCTTGTAGCCCATGAGAGGGTATTTTTGACAGCCATGGGGCCCCATATGAAATTGGATATGATTAGTCAACACAACATGATCATCATAACTGATCATTAGTGCTGGGGAAAAAACTGAAAACGCAAAATGAAAATGCATAATTATATACTCTGCTATTTGTACGTATTTTTTTTCAATATCTGGTTAATTAATTTTAGAGTATTAATATTCTTGACCTTCCAAAAAATTTAAGCTATTTTCTACTCTCTCCATTTACCAAAAATTTTTTCATTTCGTTTTTACGTAAAAAATATCATCTTTTTAAAAATAATTTATTTACAAATTGGAATAAAAAAAATAAAATTTACATATTTAAAAACTTCATCATAAGTTCTACTCCCTTCGCCACACAAAAAGTTTCTAGATTTGACATTTAAAAGATTTAAAGTGAGTGTATTTTGGTGTTAAGTTTATAAAAATGTCCTTGGATGTATGGGTAAAAGTAGATATGATAGGTAGATTAATAATGAGAAAATGTAATGTGATAGGTATGTTAAGAATTTGAAAGAAAACGTGACTTTTTAAAAAAAATGAGAAAAGTTTTTAGGGAGAGATGAAAAAAGAAATGAGAAAAATTTTGTGGGGCGAAGGGAATATAAAATAAAGGGAGAAATACCAAAGTAGGACTAAAACATTGAAAATATACTAAAATAGGACTTTCATGTTTTTGTTTCTAAAATAAGACTTACATTACCAAACATGGTCATATACATTACCAAAAAAGTATAGTAATTTACACATGTACACTGCCACATTACCACAATGCAAAGTCACATTACCACAGTGCAAAGTTCTATTCCGGGAAAAAAACATGAAAGTCCTATTTTGGTACTTTTCTCTATGTTTTAGTCCTATTTAGGATGATTTCTATAAAATAACTAGTAAAAATACATGCAAAAGAAATTATCAAATATGTTATTTTGGGATTTAGTAAAATAACTAGTCTCTATGTTATTTTATTATATCAAATAACTAGTAAAAATACATGCAAAAAAAATTATCAAGTATTTGAATAGCAGATAGAAAGGGTTTTAGTGAACAGAAGCAATAACATTTATTTAAGACTTATTCATCAAAACATCTCAAATCCAGATTTTATTGTATTTCAAAAATTAATTTCCACGGACAAAACTTAAAAATACAATCTTTGTTTGCACTTGATGGTGTATTAAAAATGCGTCTAGAATATATTCTCTCCGTCTTCTAAAGTTATTTTCATTTGACATTTAAGAAATTTAAAGAAATTTTATTGTGTTGGCTTTTCAAAAATATTATTCATGTAATGAGTAAAATTAAGATGTAATGGCTAGATTTTTATAAGTAAAAAGATATGATGTGATATGTATGGTAAGAGATGATAGTGATAAAGTGGGTTTTTAATAAAAAATGCATAATTTTGTGAGACATGTAAGAAAAAGAAGGTGAGAGTTTGAGTCGGTGGGAGTACCTTTGTGTCTCATAAAAAGCTTTCTATTTTTTCTAGTTTAGATATCTAAAAAAGGTTCTTACTCACACACATTATTTTATTTTAATTAAAGAAGTTAAAATTCTTTCAATCTTGCTAAAAAAAGTTTCAAACACATAATTTGCATTTTCAATACCGTTTTTAGAAGTGAAAAAATAGAAAAAATTTTATAGCAGTAAGGGACTAAAATATAGCATCATACTATGTGTTTTTCCTAAAATATATTCTTTCTCTCATAAGTCATTCTAGTTTTGATTTTCAAGGAATTTAATAGAGATGTTTGTGTTTTAATAAACAATTCTTAATACCATGAATGGATTAATAGTGATAAATTGATATGATCTACTCCCCCGTTCCTAAATAAACTTCCCTTTTTGACTTTTTAAAAATTTAAGGGAGGGATATTTTTGTATTGACTTTCTAAAAATATTTTTGATGTGATGTGTAAAAGTAAGATGTAATATGTATATTATTAGTAAAAAGGTATGATGTGATAGGTAAGGTATGAAAAAGTAAGGAATAAAAAGGGTTTTTTAAGAGAAAAGAAAAGTTTATTTGGGAACAAAAAAACAAAAGAGAAAATTTATTTAGGGACGGAGGGAGTAATAAGTATATTACTAAATGATTATGAAATGCAGACGGATAAAGCATCATTACTAGCGGAGGTGATCCAACACGTGAAGGAGCTGAGGAGGCAAACATCACTCATCTCCGAGACAACCCTAATCCCGACGGAGACCGACGAGCTCACGGTGGACACCGCCGCCAACGACGGGAAGCCCATGATCCGAGCCTCCCTGTGCTGCGAGGACCGGCCGGACCTGCTCCCGGACCTCATCAAGGCCCTCAAAGCCCTCAGGCTACGCACTCTCAAAGCCGAGATCACCACCGTCGGCGGCCGCGTCCGCAACGTCCTCTTCGTCACCGGCGAGGACCGACTCCGGCAGGACGGCGGCCAGCCGCAGCTGTGCTCTGTAAGTTCGATCCAAGAGGCGTTGAGAGCGGTGATTGAGAAAGGCAGCGGCGGCGGCGGCGGGGACGATCACTCGTCCGGGGCTGCTGGGAGTTCCAAGAGACAGAGAACCAACAACAACAACATTGATGTCCTCGAAACTAACTAACTAACTAAAACATGCATAAATGGAATAGTGTTTTGCGAGAAAATTTTTTAAATTTCTCCAACTTGTTTTTTTTTTTAAAAAAAATGCAGTAAGTAGTAGTATATCCCTAGCTAGTGGTTTAATTTAATTTTGTTTGATGTTTTTTTTGGGGGTTCTAAATCTGATTTGTGGGTTTGGTTTGGTAATTTGGTTAGTGATCATTAGTCCACCTGATTATATATATATAATGGCTGCGGTTTGTGTTTCTTGAATTATGGATATGGTATTAATAATATAATTATGATTGAATTGGGAGGGATTAATTAGTTTTTAATTTATACCTCATCATAATCATTATCAGATACTCCCTCCGTCCCAAATTATTTGTCACATTTTTATTACCGAGGCAAAATATCAAGTTTTTTCAATTTATTTTATTTACATATTGATTAAGAAATAAAAAATATAAATTACATATCAAAAAAATACATGAAAAGTTCTTCGAAATATGAGGTGTCAAGAATATTTTATTTTATCAAATAACCAATGAAAACATAAAAATAAACAAAAACTTCCACGACTGTTGGAAAAGCAAATGTGACAAATAATTTGAAACGGAGGGAGTAGATTGATAGATACATAGATACAAATATGGCTATGTATAACTACAAGTAGTGGTATTAAGTATGTAACGTCCTAAGAGCAACTTCAATATGAGGGGTATATGAAAGGGACTAAGAGAAATAATTGTGATATACACCTTTTTTCATTGAAAATCATCTTCCAATGAAAGAGATAAATAAAGAGGCATTATACCTTCTTCAATTTTGAAGAGGTATCTTTACCTTCTTCATTTGGGAAGGTATATCAACTTTTCCCATCTTTTAAATTTATTTCATCAATTACTTTAGTTATTGTATTTTTGCTTGAATTTATTATTATAAATTTTTAATTTGTATCTTTGTAATTATATTGTAAAACTTAACGAGTTAAGAATTAACAAAAAAGGATACTTTATTTTTTAATTTTGCACTCTGCATTTTTAAGTTTTTTATTTGGGTATTTATAATTTTACATGTGCAATTAGACATAATGTATATTTAATTATTTCAAAACTGACATTCTAATTTTTTTTCCCAATAAATTAGTTATATTTTTATAAAATCTTTAAATTTAAAAATTTAATCAAGAAGAAACAAAGGCAACAAACCTTAAATTTACCTCCCCATGATTTTTTCAAGAATGTATATTTTCTTTTCTAATAATTAAAATGTGAAATTTGCACTAAATAGGACTAAAACATAATGACTTTTCTAAATAGGAGTTAATAATGACCTAGTGGAAAGAATAATGTCCTGTAATCATGAACATTTAGTTGAATAATGACTACTTGATAATGACCAAAGGTCCTAGATTGGGAAATAAAAACATATGGTCCTATATTGGTAAAGTCATTATGTTTTAGTCCTATTTAGGTAAATTTCTCAAATGTGAAATTTGATTTAAGAAGCTAAATCAACTAATTTTTTTCCAATAATGTATGGAAATGGATTTTATCCCTCTTTTGCCTTTTGATTTACCTTCCCCCATTGGAGTTCAACACTTTTTGAAAAGGTAACTGAAGTATATATACATCATCTCCAAGATACCTTCCACCATTGGAGTTACTCTAAGGAAGGGGGGAAACAATGGAGTTTGATTAGGTTATTGGGAGTTTTTGGTGACAATGAAAGATAAGATCGATGGAGGGATTAAGGAAGAGAAAGAATGGGAAGTTGGTCGGGCACAATGTTTGTGACGCTCATCTTATGTCATGCTCCTTTGGATCCCCGCGAGAAGAGAGAACGGGGAGCTGATGTGGCCTTCGGGACACCGCCCGGCCCCTATTCGGGAAGGGGAAAGGTGAGTTCACATCCGTTATGTTTTTGGATTTTTCATTTCTTCCTTTTTCCTTCTTTATCCCTCTTGTTGCTTCTTTCCTTTTTCCTCTCTATTTTGTTACTTCTTTTCCTTTCTTAGTTTTTAACTTTTTCTAGTTTTTTATTTTTATCAGTTTTTCTTATTTCTTTTTTTATTTTGATTTTGTTTTTTTTCAAATTTTTATTACTTAATTGTATTATATATTTTTTATTTTAAGTATTATAATTAAAATAAGTGTTAAGATCATTAAAAATTGAAAGGGTGATGGGAAGGGATCAGATCGGAAGAGGATGCACGCCCCTAAAAGATGATGAAAATGGGGAAAAAAGTTGAAACTGACGTGGCGCTTAAGTTGGCAGAAAGAGAAGAGAGGAAACACGTACACTCCTCAGTCTAAGGGCATCAGCAATGCCAAGTCAAAAATGAAATGCAATATGATGAGATAAAAAGTTTAATCGATCAAAAATAGTCTAGTCAGTGTGTGGCAAATAAGTATGGTAGAAAGACATGCCATGTATTCATAAATTATTATTTTTATCTTTCTTGACATTTTTAAATGTATTATAATTATTAAAAATTATTTTATTTATCTTTTTTATAAAACAAATGCACTCATTTTCAAAAAAAAAATTGTCTTGTACAAAAAAAATGGAAAAAAGTTGCCTCGCGAATGGCTTGAAGATCACAAGGTCCCTCACATATATATGCTGAAGGAGGATGGAGGCTTCCGCAGCAAGTGCCCCACCCCCGCCAGTGGTCTAAGAGCATATATGGGCAATGACAAGTAAAAAATGAAATGACACACAGTGATGTTGAGTCGTTGAGTATTTTAACCAATAAAAACCAGTCTAGTCAGCGTGTGACAAGTGAGTGGAGTAACATTCCTTCCAATGGTAAATAATTGTTTTTGTCAATTTTTACACTTTTTAAACATATTTTAGTTATAGAAATTATTTTACTTGTTTTTTTTCATAAAAATAGATGTACTTCTCTTTTAAAAAAATCTTCTTTTTTACAAAAAAAAATTTAAAAAAATTAAAAACAAAGAGATCGGAACATATTGCCCGTGTTGATGCTATAATAAGAGGATGAGGAAAAATATTAAATACAATGGAAGGATATGTGTTATAGTGGCAGGTTATTATTTTTGTATTTTTTTAATTTTTAAAAATTATATAAAGTTTCTGGAAAAAAAAGAATATAAAGAAATGTAAAAAGAAAAAAAATTATCAGAAAAAAGAAAAAAAATAAAAACTTGATTTGATTGGTGAGTGGTGACTCGCTGTCTTGCTCTACATGGAGAAATGCTATGTCACTCCACGCCAAGGAAGATAAATAATGTGTTGGCAAATGATGTGGCAAGCGAGGCAATAAAATAACTTGCCGCTGCCACTGCTTAAAGTTCAACATGGCCGCCACACACACTTTTCTAGGATGAGTGTTAGATAGTTGGAAAGAGAAAGCACATGATCAAACACATTTTGAAATTGAAAAATGCTAGGGGTACATCCCATTTGTCCTCCACCCCTTCCTCCACCACATAAATGGGCAAGAACTTTAAAAAAAATTAAATAAATAAAAAGTAGATAAAAAATGAATGGTGGAGAAGGGGGTGTGGGAAGAAGAGTTATAGTGTGTTCTCTTCAATTTCTTATTACATACTCAATCCGTCTCTAAATAAACTTCCGTTTTTGACTTTTTGAGGATTTAAGGGAAAGATATTTTTGTGTTGACTTTCCAAAAATATCCTTGATGTGATGTGTAAAAGTAAGATGTGATATGTAGATTATTAGTAAAAAGATATGATGTGATAGGTATGGTATGAAAAAGTAAAGGGTAAAAGAGGTTTTTTTAAGGGAAAAAAAAAGTTTATTTGGGGACAAAGAAAAAACGAAAGAATAGCGCCACCAACTCTATTTCTTGTCCATGGGAACAGAGGCCCAAAGCCCCAAATTAGAACTTTGAGCGAGTTCTATTCGTATTTGATTTGAATGAACCCATCCTCTAATTGGGGTTCACACCCTGATTTGACCCCTCAATTATCTCCCTTCCTTGAAGAATTTGAACCGAGCGCTCCCGTAAAGTTTCAACTTTCAAACTAAGCAACCACAGCCACTTTGGGAGCACTCATCAAGCACTTGCCCTGGAAACACAGAAATCGGCTATACCGTTCCCATGGCCAGGTCCTCGGAAAGCCCTATCCAGTTTCTAATCTGTATTTTATTCTCATTATTATGTCTGTTATACCAAGATTTTCTTGTGACTTAATTTCATTGTGTGAAGTGCAAAGAACTCCAACTTTCTTGAATCTCAGAGTGAGGGTTCTCAAGAGTGTATCTTTTTTCTTCACTCGTGTGCGCGGATTGCTATACATTACTTACTGTTGTACCAAATAGGGAAGAAAGCACAAACTGTATGTGCGAATGTAGTGTCTAGAAGCCTAAGCATGACTTAAAAGTTCGGATTTTTTTTTTCATTTTTTGCATTTCTTGGTTTTCTTAGAGCACAGTTCAATCTTTGAACGGGTCAAAAGGTCCATTTTGTTCTGATCATGTTTGGGTTTTGAAGGGCAAGGGTTATTTAATTAATCTCCTCTACATAAAGCTCAACCACACAATGTTGGTACTCTGCATTACTAATCTCCGTGTCCAATCAAAACATGCACAAATGAGATGTGGCCATAAACAAGTAGCTAGAGTAGGACATTGTGTGCTGCATTAGGAGTTTTGGACTGACTATGCTAAAATGATGGTATAGTCTTTCTGTGTCAATCTTGTAAATGAACTGCGCGTTTAGTCTCACATTGTTAGGTTTGAACCTTGCAGGCCTTCGTGGTTGGTTGACGGAAACAGGATAGCGACAAAGATCAGAAGTGCATCAGGCGATCCAGGAAACGTTTACTGGAAAAGCAACCCTTCAAGGACTTGCCCCAGCTGCCACTATACCATTGACAATAGTGATGTAAAAATTAACTACCTTTTTCATTTGTTTGTCCCTTGAAAATGTACCGTGCATAATGCTTTTGTTTGATATGTACTTAGCTTGCATTACGGTTAGTCAATCTTGTAACAACCTACACACATTTGAGATTTTCTTTAGTAGCCCAGTGTCTTATATGGAGGATGCTGCTTTTAATTTTATATTTGTCCTTCACAAGAGCATTGTTATTTTAGGTAACTCAAGAATGGCCAGGATTGCCAAGAGGTGTGAAGTTTGATCCATCTGATCAAGAGATTATTTTCCACTTACTTGCAAAAGTTGGTGTTGATGATATGAAACCCCATCCTTTTATTGACGAATTCGTTCCAACGGTCCATAAAGATGATGGGATATGCTACACTCATCCCCAAAATTTACCAGGTAACCATAATACACACTCATGTCTTCATTCATCTTTAGTCCCACTCTGCAAATTCACCCAGATATAACCCACAATATCTTACCTGATTGCCTCGCTTTTCAAAGTTGAGACTCTTAGTCTAACCCTTAGGGAATCTTTAAGCTTAAAAATTAGCTTTAATTGCACTAAAGGGTCAACCTTTTAGGTGTTAAGCAGGATGGCACCATTTCACATTTCTTTCACAGAGCCATAAAAGCTTATAATACCGGCACACGAAAGCGCCGAAAGATACATGGTAATGATTTGGGAGATTTTAGGTGGCATAAGACGGGTCGCACGAAACCTGTGTTTCTGGATGGCGTACAAAGAGGGTGTAAGAAGATAATGGTTCTTTATGTGGGCCCGGTCAAGGGGGGTGGAAAAGCCGAGAAAACAAATTGGGTGATGCACCAGTATCATCTTGGAACCGGGGAGGATGAGAGGGAAGGAGAATATGTAATTTCTAAAGTGTTTTATCAGCAACTACAGGTGAAACAAAGTGAAAAAACGGAACATGCATCTCCCGAGGATTCTGAAAGTTTGGGTGCTAATAACGATCCATATACCCCAAAAACCGAGACTCCTGAACCTGCTCGTTTAGAAAGAAGACTGTTGAGTTCACTTGCAGTCGTTGCAGAACTGGAGACCCCTAATGTTGAGGTAACTTTGACTTGTGCACACCTATTAATGAACTATGATGCTGTGTTAAAATCAAATTATGGTTGTTTTCGAGAAAAAAAAAGAACAATTTTGAGAACCACGATAAATAGTAGTTTAAGTCTTTTACTGTTTTATTTTCTTTTTGCAACAGTTGAGGATATTTAATGAGAATTTTGTGAGACAGTGGACTACTCCCTCCGTTTTCAAATACCAATCCATTGAGTAAAACACATGATCTTAAGTTGATAACATTTTTTTCACAGTTCATGGATTGGCGAATTACCTCTTATTAGGTGATAGTTTTTGCACTTGCTGTGTGTTGTGTATGCCTGGTGCTTTCTGCTTCCGGTGCTTTGCTTCTGTGCTTCTAACCTTTTCTTCTTTAACATTAGTTTGCCTTTTGCTCATTGTGCTCTGTGCTTTCCAATGCTTCCCATGCTCTATGTGCCTTACGTGTCTTCTGTGATTCGATATTATCTTATGATAGTGGTGCTGCTTGAGGCGAAGGTCTCTTGGAAACAGCATTTCCACTTTNTCCCCCGACCCTACTTTGATGGGATTCAATTAGGTTGTTATTGTTGATTTCTGGGTAGTAAATGTAACAAGCTCAGGTGAAACAAGTCCAAGAAGGAAACCTAGTCAATTTACTATGTTTTACGTTGTTTTTAGAATGCTAAATGGGCAGTTGTTTGTGAACAAGATGTATTAGTTTACAGACAGTTATTTGATATAATGGAGGGAGTAGCTAAAGAGCAATGTATTGATATGAAAGACTACAGATTTTTTGTTCCTCTTCCATTTATACACTTTCTTGACATGAAAGACGTCATCTTTTAAGGCTTGTAATCAAGAAAAAACCATAGAGAACCAGACCAAGCGGATGGAGGTGCAAAATGAGATTGAAGAGGGAGATGAACGCAAATGGTGGGGCAGTCAAGACGAAGCAGCACAGTATCTCTTAAGCTCACAACAGCTTGTGGAAGGGCTGTCCTTGTTCGATGAACTCCTGCAGAGCCAGTCTCCAAGTAGGGATGGAGGGCAAAATGGGAAAGAGCATAAGGGAATGCCGCGTCTTTCGGATTATAGACACTTGGGGACAGAGACTTTTAAGAAGGATCTAGAGACGTGCCAAGAGCTGGTCCTTGATCCACCGCCTGTGATTAATACAGAGGGTGAAACAGTCAACAACAGCCAAGAGTTTGTCATTGATCAAGAAAATATAGTTCTAGAGACACCACCTGAAAGGCTTACCCAACTCGTAAGTAATGAGCCTCATTGTTATCTATCCTTTTGCTGTCCATTTTTTGTTTTATGTTTTCAAAGTAGACGTAAGGTCTACGTATCCACTATCTTTATTGGGTTTCGTGTTGTTTCTGCTTTATGTTTCTAAGGGTAAAACAACATTATGATTCACGAAAACAAAACCCAAAAATGCGGTTTTTAGTTTGCGGATTTTGAAATTAACACGATTAGTAAAATAAGTGTATACGACATGAAACTTCAAATTTGAAACTGAGACTGATACCAAATTGGCACTATGTTTCTTGGATTTCATTCTTTTCTTTAGTTAACGAGTGAAGCTCTTCCGCAAGTACTATATTGTTTCTTGTTTATGTGATGTTGTTTTCTTGAAGGAGTTTGAGTCTCAGGACAGTTACCTTGCTTGGGGAGGGAACAAGATTGATTCTTCTGAGAGAGGCAGCGGTTAATCATCGTTTCTAACCTTTGCAGCCGGGAAGCAGCAAAATGTTCGTTGGCTTCACAAAACTCTTTTCTGCCTCAATCCAAACTAACACTTATTGGAGATGGGAGTTGATGATGTTAAAATATGTAGTGTTGTAACATAGAGAGCATGAAGTTGTGTTTTGTACTTTGAAGTGATTCTGATGGTGGCCTATAAGTAATGCTCCCTCCCTGTTTTTGTCCTGTCACGCTTGTAAGGATAATGAAACTGTGTGGTTGCGGTGGACAGGGATGGAGTAGTTGGTTTCAGAATGTCCACGATTTTGATCCTTATTGCGCCCCTCGTCCCATTATTTTCGAAACATTGGTGAGTGATTCAAAAATTAAGAAAAGTAAGACGGTTGATAAAGATAAAATGAATGTGAAATACACAAATATGATCAAATATGGTATGTCACAAAACTAGCGGGATAGAAAAAATGCTATAAAGAGACAAAAATAGTGGGATGGAGAGTATTTTCTTTGTCATGTTACAAAATTCTAATTTGTAGTGCTATTTACACGACAAGAGAATTGGTTGGGGCGAGTAAAAGAATAGTCTCACCTTGCCATGAAACGAAAGTCGCCACATTCAGCGGCGTGGGAGGAGAGACGACAGTAGTTGCCGGCTCTATGTCCACTTTATTGCTACGTTCATCGCCTGCCTTACGCTATACTACTACCACGTCAGATGCCACCATAGGCGTAACTCGCCATTGCAAGCTATGGAATGCGACAATTTTCGCATGATTAATTTGATTGGTTGGAAAATGCCACATCACCACGTGATTCTTGGGAGTTTTTGCAGTAATTTAAAACTACTAATTATTAGGTTACACCGTATATGATTATTCCTTGGTGGGTCAAAGGGGAAAATATGTTTCCACAGCTCATGATATATATTCGATGTTGGGCTAGGGAGAAACATTCCGTACGTACTAAGATGGTGTTGGCATGTGGTGGACAAGTCCCATATAGTGTAAAAACTAATGTTTGTTGGTTCTTTTAAATTTTAATTACCACAAAATTTAACTTTTTGATTGAGTTGGTTTTTGACCTACCATATTTAAAAGTCGTGAGTTCAAATGTTACCGTCATTCACATTTAAAAAAAAACAAAATTAAAATTCACGCGTAAAATTTTATTGTTTTTTTAATAAAAAAACTTAATGTTCGTGTGTAAAATTGTAGTCCCTCCGTCCCATAAAGTGTTACCCATTTTGACTAAAGTAGAAATTAAGGGAAGGATAATTTTGTGTTGACTTTCCAAAAATATCCTTGATGTGATGGGTAAAAGTAGGATGTGATGTGTAGATTATTAGGAAAAAGGTATGATGTGATAGGTAGAGTTTGAAAAAGTAAGGGGTAAAAGTGGTTTTTTAATAGAAATGGATAGGAGATTGTGGGACACAATTTTTTTGAAAGGTGTAAATCTTTTTGGGACGGAGGGAGTATAACCCAACAGCAAGCCAGCCACTCTGTGTGTGTGAGATTGACAGCAAATGTGCATGAACCGTCCTCCGATTTGGGGGCAAAATATGTCCTCCAGCTGGTCAAATATATGACTGACATGGGGGGGAAGTTGCATGCATTGTACTACGTGAGTAGGATGATTACAATTCCAAGTTGGCAATATATTCATATATATATCATTATATATATATAGATTTGATGATTATATATGTTAGTTTGCCCAAGCTAGCTAGCTAGTTTATAAGGACACTCGTGCATTTGTCTCAAACCATTGCAATTCAAACTGGATTGCAACAATTTTTTGTGTAACCAAATCTCACGTGCTCACATGTATTACGGATCGGAGTAGTATTTTATTAATTATTTAATTACTATGTATATGATCACATATATATATTCCAATATATACTCTATGATATTTATGAAGATTTTATTCCCATCCTAGCTTTTGGATTCATTCCACGTTTTGCAAATTTATCCATTGATTGTGGCTTATATATGTTCATATAGGAAGAGGGTGTTTGGCAGTGTGCTGCGTTTAACAATTTAACTTCTGCTTTGAGTGGAAGTAATTTTACTCTGTTTGGCATGTCAGCTTCTGCTTTTTACCAACATTATTTTGTACATGGAACACCGTTTCGGAGAAGCAGGTATGAGGTGCTTTTGCTTTCAGCTTTTGTAGAAATCACTTTATCCATAAGCTAATCACTCCCAAACACACTCGAAATCTTATATCCAAACTCGTCTTAATTTCACCATAATTTGAAGTGTGTTTGCGGTTGTATTTGAAAACTTCTTCTAAGCTTCTCTTTCGTTGAAATATAGTTTAGCGTATTTGAGAATCTGCTTCTACTTATACATCCAATGTGACTCAAAAATTCAAAATAGACTTAGGCCAAAAATACTTTTAAAAGCAAAGGTAGTTTATAAATACATTCTGGAGGAGCATGGGGAGGACTTCAAGACCCTGAGTGAGACTCAGGAAGCTAAGGTAAAAAAATACTCCCTCCGTCCTTAAATAAACTTCCCCTTTCGTTTTCTCTTTGTCTCTAAATAAACTTTTCTTTTCCCTTAAAAAACCCCTTTTACCCATTACTTTTCCATACCCTACCTATCACATCATACCTTTTTACCAATAATCTACATATGACATCATACTTTTACATATCACATCAAGGGTATTTTCGGAAAGTCAACCAAAAAATATCCCTCCCTTAAATCCTCAAAAAGTCAAAAAGGGAAGTTTATTTAGGGACGGAGGAAGTATTATTCTTTGAAATAAATTAAGGGTAGTTTACTTAAATAGCACTGAAACATAATCATTTTCTCTAAATAGCATTATATGTGTTTTTTCCCAATATAATACTATAACACTTTTAGTCATTATCCACTAGTCATTATTCAAGTAAATGTTCGCCATCAGTGGACATTATTCCTCCTTCTTGACATTATTAAGTGTTATTTAGAGAATAAAACATTTTAGGTGATATATAGGGAAATGACTTAAATTTAGAGTTATTTAATTAGGGCAAATATTTCATTAATTAAGCAATAATGGAAGTTATTTAAAACGAGAGATTTTAATAATTATTTTTGTTTTTAAAGCATTTTTTCATGAAACTCAAAGTCTCTGTGTTTTTTTTAAAGCAATGACAAACCCATGAATGAAAGATCAAGAACATATTGTTTTTTTAAAACAATATTTCATATTATTATAATTAATATGTGTACGTGAGTAAGCTAGTATCCCCCGTGAGTAAGCTAGTATTCAGTGACAAGAATAAAAATAAAAAATAAAACTTATTTTATTTTGATATAGAAATAAAAAAATAAAATTTATATATTTAAAAATCACATCAAAAGTTCAACAAAACAAGTTGTGAAAAAAATATTTTATTTTATCATATAGGCCATGAAAAAACATAGATTAATAAAAGTACCCGTGAAATTGAAGTCGTGCTATGGGAAAAAAGACACATGACTGAGTGAGTATGAAAACAAGTACTCCCTCCCTCTCCTTAAGTAGATCTTCTCATTTTGACTTTTTGTTATTTTTAAGGAGAGTTAAAAAATGATTAAAGTTTACCATAATACCCTTAGGTAGTATTTGACAACTAGCATTTCATTTCAATTCATGTATTTCAATTCCAAAATTTGAAATCCTGAATTTCAAATGACAAGAGGAGATACATGAATTTCAAATTAAGCATTGTTTTAAATGTAAATAATTTGATTCAAATCCAAATTCAAAATGCTTAAGTTTCTCAAACATGGAATTTAAGCCAAATCCGGATTTGAAATCCAAATCCATGTTCCCAAACATAACATTAATGAAAATGAGTGAAGTGCATTGAATGGGATGAGTGAGGTGCAATAAATAAAGTAAGTGAGGGTAGTTGTGATATTTTAATGGTTAAAAAAGGTAATGAGAAGATCTATGGTGGACAAATAAAAAGAGCTAATGGGAAGATCTATGGGGGGCGTGTTTGTCTCATAGATTAGATGAGAGTCAAATGGCATACATTGAACTTTTTGTGCTCACATAAAGGCTAACATAGGTGAGAATTGAAGAAAGGGAGATTAGAGTAAAGATATATGGTGAAAGAACAAGTGCACGTGAGAGAAAGTGAGAGTGGAGTGGACATATATTTATGAATATACAAAAATATATACACGCAATTATATTGGTACATGGCAAAAAGACAAAGTGACATGAATCAATTGTTACACATTCAATTCAATTCTTCCCATAAATTATTGTCTGCAGAGAGTGCATATAATAATACTCCCTCCGTCCCAAAAAGGTCGTTACGTTTCATTTCTTTGCGCATCCTTTAAAATATTTTTATATCGTCTCAAATGCCAAAAAAATTTTCAAAACAATTTCATCTTATAATAAAGAGTAAATATGGTAAATTTTAGAAATTTTAAATGTGAGTAGCATTGCTTTTTGTGATGCGCAAAGAAATGAAACGTAACGATCTTTTTGGGACGGAGGGAGTATGATTCTGTACGTGTATACATAATATGGAGTGGATTACATAGATTATGTGAATGAAGCGATACATGCCGTCATGCCCACTAAGTTTGATATGAGTAATATAGCTATATACCACCTCCGTCCTAGCGTATTTTGTCCAGTTTGACTCAAAAATGTTAAATTAGACAAATACTTCGGAACGGAAGGAGTAATTAACTATATAATGAAAAGCAAATGATACGCAAAACCAAAACAGAGAAGCATGTATAGGCCCTCTTCATTCCCGTTGTTAATGATTGGGTGCAATTGAGATTTTATTTTTAGAAGAATTTACTTAAATAGCACTAAAACATAATGATTTTCTCTAAATAATATTATATATGTTATTCCCTAAATACTATTTAGGGAATAAAATAATTTAAGTGCTACTTAGAAAAATGACTTAGGTTTTAGTGCTATTTAGTGCAAATATTTCTTTATTTTAAATTGCAACATATTGATTTAATTAATGGGGAACAAATAATAAATGAAATATTTGCACTAAAACTTAAGTCATTTCTCTAAATAACACTTAAACTGTTTTATTCCCTAAATAACACTTAATAATGTCCATAATGTCCAGTGATGGCGAATATTTGTTTGAATAATGACTAATGCATAATGACTAAAAATGCTATATTGGGAAGAAAAACACATGTGGTACTATTTAGGGAAGGTAATTATGTTTTAGTGTTATTTAAGTAAATTCCTCATAATAAATATCATAAAAATTCATCTAAACAATAAAATT